TGGTTGAGCATTGACCCATGCACATAGAGGTCACCAGTTCAATTCCTAGTCAGGGCACATGCCCAGGTTGCAGGCTCCATCCCCAGTGGGAGATGTGCAGGAGGCAGCCAATCAATGTTTCTCTCTCAGTGATGTTTCTATCTCTCTCTTCCTCTCCCTTCCTCTTTCTCTAAAAAAAAATAAAAATCAATAAAAATATATTTTAAAAAATACCAGTGACATATTTCATGGATGTAGAACAAATATTCCAAAAATTAATATGGAACCAAAAAAGACCCTGAATAGCCTCAGCAATCTTGAAAAAGAAGAATGAAGTTGGAAGAATCACAGTACTAAATATCAAATTATACTACAAGGCCACTGTAATCAAAACAGCCTAGTACTGGCATAAGAACAGGCATACAGATCAATGAAACAGCAGAGAGCCCAGAAATCAACCCAAACTTATATGGTAAATTAATATTTGACAAAGGAGGCAAGACCATACAATGGAGTAAAGACAGTCTCTTCAATAAATGGTGCTGGGAAAATTGGACAGCTAAATGCAAAAAAAAAAAAAAAGAAACTAGACCACCAACTTACACCATACATAAGAATAAATTCAAAATGAATATAGGCTTAAATGTAAGTCATGAAAACCATAAAACTCCTAGAAGAAAACACAGATAGCAAAATATCAGACATCTCTTGTAGTAATTTTTTGTTGATGTCTCCTAGGGCAAGGGAAACAAAGAAAAAAAAACCACAAAAAAACAAATGGAACTACATCAAACTAAAAAGCATCTTCACAGCAAAGGAACCCTTCCCCATAATGAAAAGGGAACCCACTGTATGGGAGAACATAATTGCCAATGATACATCTGATAAAGAGTTAATTTCCGAAGAACTTATTCAACTGAACACCAGGAAGACAAACAATCCAATTAAAAATGGGCAAATGACCTGAATAGATATTTCTCCAAAGAGGATATACAGATAGCAAATAGACATATGAAAAAATGCTCAACATTACTAATCATCAGAGAGATGCAAATTAAAACTACAATGAGGTATCACCTCACACCTGCCAGAATGGCCGCCATCAATAAATCAGAAAACAGGTGCTGGCAAAAATGTGCACGTTGGTAGGAATGAAGATTGGTGCAGCCACTGTGAAAACCATGAAGTTTCTTCAAAAAAATTAAAAATGGAACTTCCATTTGACCCAGCAACCCCACTTCTGAGAATATATTCTAAGAATCCCGAAACACCAATCAGAAAGAATATATGCATCCCTATGTTCATAGTAGTGCTATAGATAAGATCTGGAAACAGCCCAAAAACCCATTAGTAGATTAGTGGATAAAAAAGCTGTGGTACATTTACACAGTAGAATACTACGTGACTGTTAAAAAAAAAAATCTTACCTTTGTGACAGTATGAATGGACTGGAGATTGTTATGCCAAGTGAAATAGCCACTCAGGGAAAGATAAATACCATATGACCTCACTTATATGGAGTCAAATGAAAAAAATAAACCTGATGAACAAAACAGAAATAGAGGCAGACGATGTCAAGCTGTCAGCAGGGATGCCGGAGAAAGGACTGAATGAAAGAAGGTAAATAGATTAGCCAAAGAACATATATGAATAACCCATAGACACAGACAACAGTTCAGTGATAGCCAGAGGGAAGGAGGGGGTGGGGGCTGGGTGGAGGCAGCCAAAGGTGGGGAGAATGGGAACATCTGCAATAGTGTCAACAATAAAAATAAAGAATAAAAATCAATCAAGAAGGGCACTAATAAAATTAATGACACCTGATGTGTAAATTCCAATGGAAAAGACCCAGTTGAGAGGGAAAGACTTAAGATCCAAGAAATAAAGAGTAATAAATATAAAGTTCTTGATAATGCAGAGGATACAGGAGCCAAAATGTAAGTGAGTTGTAGGAACCAGATGCTTCCTCTGTTGTAACAGGGGGATAGGAAGAGGAACTGATCCCAGTACAGGCAGGTATGTCTGTGGATTGGAAGAGCTCAGAAACTTCTGTCAGGTGCCTTCCATTCTGTTTGTGAAATAAAAGAAGAGGTTATCGCCCTGGCTGGTTTGGCTCAACGGTTAGAGCATCTGGAGAGACCGGGGTTTGGTTCCCGCTGAGGGCACGTACCTCGGTTGCAGTTTGTCCCAGGCCCTGGTTGGGTTGTGCGGGCGGCAGCCACTCGATGTGTCCCTTTCATGTCAATGTTTCTCTCTCTCACTCTTTCTCCCTCTCACTCTATCTGAACAAAAAAATGAAAAAAATGTCCTCAGGTGAGGATTAAAAAAACAAAAAAAGAGAAGAGGTTATCCACCAAGAGTAAGAGGAGTGATTGAGGGCGAGGGAGGAAGAAATGGAAAATTTGAAGAGTAGAGGTCTGACAGAGGGAAAAGAACAGAAGAACAGTACCCAGTCTGTGCAGTGTACACCTTGTTGTGAGATTTTCTCCAGCACCAATAGGATGTCCAAGCACCAAGAAAGTGTATGGCTGTGTTCGCCTGGGCTATACATGACAAATAACAGGTAAAAGGAAGTTTATAGTTTGGGCAAGAGAATAACTAAAGAGATAGTCATTACTTTAAGCTGAATAAGAAAGAGAAAGAAGACAGGAAGGAACTGAGAGAAACTGATAGATCGGTGGGCTCAAGATCCAGAGAGAATAGTGAGTACATTGAAAAGAGAGGAGATGGCTGGCTAATTCCAGCTGGCTGCTTTCACTGGTGACTTTGTAGTTAGAATAGTTTCAAATGATAAAATCCAGGATGTGAGTATGAGTGGATGGCTAGGGTGAAGGGAAGGAAAAGATTACTGCAGCTGTGAAGGTCAAGGAGTGGTTATCCACAACACCATAGAGGTCACCCAAGACAGTAGGGGCACCAGAGGTAAAAAGGGAGATACTGTGCCAGATGGTTTTCCATGACTGAGAAATGACTAAGTGATCAGAAGATAACAGTATCAACAAAGGACTCATCAATGCCAGGCAGATGAAAGTTTTCGCAGTATAAACTATCGTAAATAATTAAAGTTGTTAAAAGCTCTGACTCTAGTCTACGCAGATCTGGGCAAAATTGTAGGCTTCCCCTTGCTAGCTTTGTGACTTTGTATGTATTGCTTAGCTCTTCTGAGTCTGTTTCATCATCTGGAGCATAAGGATAACACAAGTGCCTACATCATGAGTTACTGTGAGGATTAAGTTATATTACACATATGGAGTTCTTAACGAATGCTTGGCAGACAGGAAGCATTTAATATTGCTAGCTATTAGCTTTTAGAAAGGCCTGCATACAAGGCTAGCCCTTGGCTAGCATCTAGAACTTGAATTTGGGATGGTTATGATCAACCTAACTGATAAAGAGGCCAGAACTATTTGTACAAGATGGTGTATCCTGAAAACCTGCCTTCCTTCTGTGAGCTTGGAATTTTGCTATGTGCTGTGCCTCCATGATCAGCCCCCAATAAAAACCCTGCATGCTGTCTCTGAGTTTCTCTGATAGACAGCCTTTCACATGTGTTGTCACATCTCATTGCTGGGGGAATGAAGTGTGACTCCCCTGGGAAAGGACTCTGGGAGCTTGTGCCTGGCTTCTCCTAGATGTCTATGTGCCTTTTCCCATGGCTGATTTTGCTTTGTATCCTGCTGTAGTAAACCTTAACCATCCGTGTAATTATATACTGAGTCCCCTGAATTATTCTAGTGAATCGTCAAACCTGGGGTGCTTAGAAACCCCTGACACACGAGTTTTTGTCTTAGCTGAATACTGTTATTAAGAGGCAATGCCAATAACATCAGCATTTTACTGTGAAACTTTTTTAATGTGTCCTTTGTGTTTACAGATTTTACATACAAGTTAAGTTCAACGTTTTTTATGTCAACTCTTTAGGAAAAAGACACAAGGAAAAGTCACATTAGTAATATAGCACTTTGTCAAAAGGCTTAGAATACATTCTTTCTGTGCCATCCTGAGCACTGTCATTTTAGAATATGAACTTCCCAGGTCTGAATCCTGGCCCCACTGTGTATCCTTGGGAAAGTTAATATTTCTGGTCTCAGTTTCTTTATCTGTAACATTAGAATAACAACAACTATCTCAAAGGAATGGTAGCTATCTCCGTAAGGAAACAATGAAGTTACATATAAAGTATTTCAAACAATACATAACATACAGAGCTACATGTGTATTATTATTATTACCTCACACTGAAATTCCAGAGTTTTATTCTTTTGTGGCTTGAACTGTATTGATAGTGTTACCTCTGTGTATTAGGTCTGTTAAATTTTCTAAAATATAAGATTTGTTCTAAAATTTAAGCTATAAATAATAAAAACTAAACTACAAAAGACATAAATGTTTTGGTCTCAAAATGAATTTAATTTCAGTTCAGGTAGAGAGAGACCATCAACCAGCAACATCTATAAAATTCATCTTATCCCAATTGATTAAAGAAATTCTAAGCAAACACTGTGGAAACAAAAATGAACGTAAAGAATTATATTAAGATTTTCAAATTCTAGAATTGTCAGCTATTCGGCACAGAAGAATGATCACAGGTACTAAGTCACAGTAATAAAAAATCCATTGTAAATTTTTATTATATGAGTACCTGGGACTTTGACCTCAAACTTTCAGGATTTCAGAACCTTGTCCTGTTTGAACCACACTCCATGTGGCTGGTCTCCTCCAGGTGGCTGAGAGATCTGTTTTCTATGGCAAGCACCTCTCCCTGTGCTTGTCATAGATATCAGATCACTGGTGACAAAACTAATAGGGAGAATACTGAAATCTAGGACAAGAAGGCTCAATTCACACGGCAAGTTATGTTCGGCAGTACCCTGAAAATAAGCTAAATTAAACCAATACATTTTACCTCTCCATTAAAATACTCTTCAAGAAATAACTATATGAGGTAAAATATCTCTTCTCCAGGTAAGGTGAAGTCAACTTCCTAAGTATTCTGAATAGTGAATAAATTCAAAACTCACCATTGTAAATATGCTGACAGTTGGCTTCTTTTCTTTTTTCTCCTTTTTTTTACTGAAAAACAGCAATAGAATTACACAAAACTTTTAAAATTATATAAATTTTAAAGTTACCAAATTAACATAGAGCTTATAACATGTTTACAATATATTATTCAGTTAAAATAAAAACCAGGTTAATAGTATGATCCCATTTATGAAGTTTAAACATGTTTACATGTATCTTAGAAATCTATGTGTAATTTTCACTGGTGTTGAGGTTTTTCTCAATACATTTTCTTCCTTGTGCCTTTGGTATTTCCTAATTTACTATGATAAACACATACACAGACCCACAACATTTACAACTAGAAAAAAAAATTACTAAAAAAAAGAGAGCTTCCTGTTTTCTACTCTAATTAGAAAATCATTCTCTCCCAAACTAATCCCCTTAATTATCATCTAAGTAATTCTAGAAGTAGATACATAGTGGCAATCAGATGCTGGGCATAAACCTAAAAAGAAAAGTAATTAAATCACTATGAGCAAATCTAATTCTGAAAGGATGTCTGGAGCCCTAAATGGACTGTTATGGCAATAAATGCAACCTAGAAAAGCTATAGTCAAGGTCAAGGAAAATAGTCTGTAAACTGAAAAACAAGTGGTCCTCAGGCATAAGAAGAAAGTAATTATTTTGAGCCTAGATTCAAATTAATCTAACTGCAAACCATTTTCCACTCTACATAGCTGCTGCTGAGGACATGAAGGTAAACCCACATTACCAGCCTCTGCATCTATATTTTCAAATGTACAAAAGAAAGACTATTTCAGAGAAGAACCACATTCTTTTTACACAGATTTCCAAGTTCAAGGAGTAAATTCATCTTTGTCTTTGTTCTTTACACTAAGTGAGGTCAAAGAGTTGAAGAGACTTCTAAAGAAAAAAATCCAGAGTTCACCCCTAATTTGGCTTTGGAGTGATGTTAGTCGGACAAAAACACACAAAATACACAAACATAACTCTTCAAATGTGGCCCCACCCTATTCCCAGTAAAGGCATGGTTTCACTAACCCTGGAACCAGGGTGAGATGGGAGAATAGTCATACATAATTGGATTTTAGCTCTAAGCTTTTTATTTATTTTTTCCATCTCTAAAACTGCTGCTATTTTGAAGAAGTTATAATGTTCCTGAGGTGCTGGCTAAGTAAACTCTTCCCATACACAATCTCATTTAATATTTTTTAATTGTATTACATTTATTGGGGTGACAACTGGTTAATAAAATTACATAAGTTTCAAGTATACAATTTTATAACACATCATCTGTATACTACACTGTGTGTTCACCATCCAACATCATTTAATTTCAATTTCTGTGGGGCATGCAAATTTTTGTTATTTTAGAGATAAGAAAACTGCAGGTGAGAGGAGTTACCTAGGTCACTAGAACAAAGCCAAGATTTAAACTGAAAAGTCTAGCCCCTCAACACCAGATACGCAGGGCAATCTCAGTCTTCTGAGTTACTGCACTGCAAGGACGTGCACTTCCACAATGACTCTCACCCCTACCAGATAACTCATCTACCCTATCAGCTTGAAACACAGGGCTGACGAAAGAAAGGCAAGTCATTCATCAAACCTCATTTTAATGAAGAATCTTCATAAATACAGATATTCCAAATGTTACAATCATCCAAACATTATACCTATTAACAGAGCCACATGTTTCTTTCTAATTATAAATTAGAATATATAGTTTTAATATAGGGAGGAAGGTGTCTGGGGGCGTGGGAGAAACATCTGTAACAAAAATAAATTAATTTAAAAAAAAGGATAACAACCCAAACTCACAGAAAAAGAGATCAGATTTGTGGTTATGGTGAGCGGGAGGTGGGGGTGGGGGGTGGGGGCAGAGATTAGGAAGGTGGTCCAAAGATACAAACTTCCAGTTATAAGATAAAGTACCAGGGATATATAATGTACAACATGATGACTATAGTGAACATAATGATATATAGAAAAGTTGTTAAGTAGATCCTAATAGTTCTTGTGAAAAGAAAAAAAAAATGTTTTTCTCTTTCTTTTTATTGTATCTGTATAAGATGATGGATGTTAACTAAACTTATTATGGTAATCATTTCATATTCTATGGAAGTCAAACCATTATGCTGTATACCTTAAATTTATACAGTGCGGACTGTCAATTATATTTCAATAAAACTGGGAAAAAATAATATAGTTTTATTAAGAACAGATTAATATAAAAAATGATGAGCACAATTTAACCAAAAAAATATATCTAGTTTGAAAAAAGTCTGTAGGCCATAAAAAGAGTTAATAATAAAATAAAGGTATGTACAGGCTTGACCCAATTTCTTTGCCATTTCCTTCTACATACCCTCCCCTATTTGTGTCATAAGTTCTTTAAAGTACCAAGTTTTTTTTAAAGTTAAAAACAGAAGAAAACTATCTACTTTCCATTCTATGAACCTTTCTTCCTTTTGTTTCCATGACTATTGTTTATTTAAAAAATTTTTAAATAAGCAGAAAAACTGCAGTAGTAATAATGATTACCCATACGTTAACCTAGATTCAATGATTGTTAACATTTGACCATATTTTCTTGATCTAAATAAGAAATTATATATTATCATTGTTAATTTTCTTTAATCCCCACCAAAAGATATGTTTTAGAGAGAGAGGAAGGGAGAGAGAAACATTGATTGGTTGCATCCCATACTCCCGGACCAGGGATGGAACCTGAAACCTAGGTATATGCCCTGATCGGGAATCAAACCCATGACTCTTCTGTGCGAGTGCCAATGCTCTAACCACTGTGAACACTGACCAGGGCTGCTTAAACCATTTTAAAGTAAGTTGAAAATACCATGGCACTTCACATGCATTCCTATCATTGTCATATCTAAAAAATTAAGAGCAGGTTTTCTATTGATTTTTCCTATTTTGAAACCAAAGTAATCAAGGACCACGCATTATATTTGGTGGTTTTGTCTCTTTAGTCTTTTTTTTTTTTAAATCTGGAAGTCTTTCTGCTCCTCACCCCAACCCCCATTGACATTTTGTAGGAACAAGAACAGTTGTCTTATAGAATGTCCCACATCTTGGATATGTCTGTTCAAACTGAATTCAAATTGATGGGCAGTAGCAGTAAGTATAAAATACACAGCAAATTTGAAGATTTAGTAGTCCCCCCATCAGTTGTTTGCATTCCATGGTTTCAGTCCCCTGCTGTCAACTGTGGTTCAAAAGTATTACATGGAAAATTTCAGAAATAAACAATTTTAAGTTCTAAATTGTGCACCACTTTGAAAAGAGGGGTGAAATTTAGTGCCCACATGCTGGAGAAATGAATCATTCCTTTGTCCAGAGTCCCCATGCTGTATTGTTACCTGCCTGTTAGATACTTAGCAGCTGTCTATCATATCTACTGTCATGGTAGCAGAGTGCTTATGTTCAAGTAACCCTTATTTTATTTAATAACGATTCCAAAGCCATTTACATAACTCTTATTAGAGTATATTATTATAATTGTTCTATTTTAGTATTAGTTATTGTTATTAATATTTTACTTGCCTAATTTATAAATTAGACTTTATCATAGGTATGTATAGGAAAAAACAGAATACAGTTGACCATTAAACAACTCAGGAGGGTTAAAGACATTGACCGCCTGTGCAGAATCTGCATATAACTTTAGTCAGCCCTCTGCATATTTGGAATATAATCACCAGTTGACCCTTGAACAACACAGGTTTTAAATGCATGGGTCAATTGTAGGTCAACAGAAAAAATAGTGAGTATAAGTAGACCTGTGGAGCTCAAACTATATATGGTTAGGTACAATTTTTGGTTTCAGGCATCCACTAGGGGTCTTGGAACATATCCCCCATAGTTCAGAGGGGACTAGTGTATAAAAAAGAGAATGTAAACTATCTGATTAATAATTCTGATTATAGGTAGAAACAATATTTTGGATATACTGGATTCCTTAAAATATATTTTCAAAATTAATTTTACCTGTTTCTTTTTACTTTTCTTAATGTGGCTACTAAAAATTAATAGTCACAAATGTGGCTCACATTACATTTCTATTGGACAACATCACTCTAGAAGCTTTATTGGACTCAGACTAAATGTTTTTGCTAATATGCTTCCTAGGTGGTGTCTTGTCACTAAACACAGTGTATTCCACCATGAGTAATGCCAGGTCTGATCACTTGGTTAAAGTACTAACTGAAATCAATTATAACAATGCAGTTTAAAAATGATTGCTGGCATTTTTCTGTAGAGAATGTTCCTTTATTCTCCCTACCTCTCTCACCCTTTAGGTTTCCTCCTCCTCTCAGAATTTTATTAAGGATTCATAAATTTTATTCAGTATTTCACAGTCAAGTTCAGTCATTATTCTTGTTTCTCATATTTGGCCAGTGGAAGCCCCTTCAGGTTCTCTCCTGTGTCTTTTGACAACTTAAACTCCACTTCCTTGTTTTGGCATAGTACAAGGTACTCAGATCCCCTTTTTCCCTACTCAGACCTGGTTGGAATTAGCCATTTGTTTGTGGGTTCACAGTCCTTTCAGTGAAGAATAATATTTAGAAACCAAGATCTGACACTCAGTGTACTCATTACTATTGTCCCTTTCACTGGACAGAAATTGAACTATTAAAAAACGATGTGTTCATATTGAAGTCTCCAATTCAAATTTAACATTCTTTTAAAAAAAACTTATTTGATGTCCACATTTGTATTTCTTTTCTCTTACACCAAAAAGCTCAGTTTCTAATAATATGTTTACTAATTTGTTTTCTTTTACAATGTACTATTAACAGTGAACCTATTGTGTGAGGTTTAACATTTCCTGTGTAGACACTGCACTTTGACCAAAATTTACTTAAATTAATTATTTTCCCTGAGTAGTTACATAACTAATTCTATATACATCAGGATAATTTCACATCGTGTTAGTAGCTTCTTTGGTGCTGCGGTCTTCTCTTTTCACAATTTCTTTTACGAGGGTCCAATATTCATTGCCTTTTTAAAAACATTAACA